GCCGAGGCTAAGACCCGGCCCAAGGTTACCACCGCTCGCAACACTTGAGGGGTAACCCGTGGCATTGCTAGACTGACTAACGCCAGCGCCAACCCCTTGGTGACTAACGCCACCTCCGTAGGCAGGACCATAGAAACTGGAACCACACTGATTGTTCCCAATTCCATGAGTATCCGCAGCACTACCGTGGAACCCGGGTGCTCCACCAGGGTAACCCCCGGTAGGGGCCCCTCCACTCGGCCCTCCAGAAGGTCCAGCGGGACCTTGGCCTCCGCCAGGATGTCCAGGCCCTGGCGGTGGAAGTGGAGCATGTCCATGACCACCGCTTCCGCTCCCACCTTGACCAGGTGGTCCGCCTTGCCCACCACCTCCCCCGGGAGGAGGAGGAGGGGGCGGTCCAGCTTGAGCGCGTTCATGCCGAATATTGCAGCGTGCACATCGCTCAAGGCCGTCATTTCCGAAGTAACTGTGATTCTCACAGACGTGAGTCCCACAATCCGTACAGAGATACATGGAGACCTCCTGAGCATTCTTGCGACATGCCCAGCATTTCATTTTCAAGAACTGACAATTGTAACAGTCCCCGTCGTCACCCCGGCAAAGTTCGCAGAACTCACGATTGCACGTAACACACGAGAATTCAGCGTTTGGGTGCCTACGGTCGTTGGGATCATCGAGGGCACAAATCTTTGGCGCGTCTGGGCCATCGCCGCCGGGAGCCCCTCTTGCAGCCGGCGCTGAGGCCTGTCCACGATCCAACGGATTTCCAGCGGTCCCTCGCCTATCGCCGGGATTCTGGGTGTCGGCGCTGGCTCTACTCCCAGGAGTCCTCCACTCATCACCAGGACTCTGGATGTCGGCATGGACCCTATTACCCCCACCACCTCCTGAATGACGACCTGGGTTCGGAGAGACGTTCCCGCTATCACGGATTGGCCTATCAAAACTCGGAGAGACGCTCCCGCTATCGCGGATCGGCCTCTCCCCCCTCGATTGTCGACTCCGGACCTCAGATCCCCTATCGGGGACGGCAGCAGGCCTCGGGCTCCTATTCCTACCCGCATCCCTATTGGGGGAAATAGAAACGTCCCCCCTTGCGCGCGCGCGGGGACCACCCCTTGCACGCTCCGGTGGCGAATGCGACCTGTCAGGCAACCCCCGAACCCTCCTGCTCCTGCTGTCGGACCTCTCCCTAACGGGATTGATGGGATGCCTGTCTGCGCGAGAAGGATCGACCCTATCGGGCACGTTCGGCAAAACATGATCAGGCAAAACAACGCCTCCGCCTGGTCTCACCGGCAGGCCATTGCCCCGGCCGTCACCTTCCCCTGGTGTAGGCGTCGGTGACCTGATCCTATGTCCTTGCCCCGCAAATGCATGGTAACCAGCATTCCGTCTTTCTCTGGGTTGTGGAGGAGCTTCATTAATCTGCTGGACACCCTGAATAATGCCAGCAGCCTCGTCAAATTGACCCTCCATCTCAAAGAGCTGGGACATGATTCTGTTGTTCGCGGCGCTAAGGTTACGCACGTTGCCATCGATAGCGCTGACTCTCCGCATAACACCTTCAAGTGTACTCCGGAATGTGCCGAGTTCCCGCCTAACGGCAGGCTGCACTTGGTCACTGCTTGCAGGAAGATTACGGATCTGTCCTTGGATGCCATCAACGACCCGATTCACAATTGCCGATCTCGCTTCATACTGTTCAACATGTGACTTCACGGTCTCAAACCTTGAAATGATGTCGTCATGATCCCGACGTTGACGTTGAATTCCTCGAGCCAGATCCTGCATCTTCCGATTGATCTCGTCAATAGCCTCATGCCAGTCCTGCGGGGAATCATGTTCTGATGGTCTATCGACCTCCTGAGAACCCCTTCCACTCTGCAGTCTCGACACTCGATTAACAAGACGAGTGTGCTCTTCTTTGATCCCTTCAATAGATTCAGAGGCCCACTTGGCAAATGTCTCGTGTTCAAGGAGAGCTTTCTCGATCTTCAGGTTTAACTCCCTGAAATTTGCATCCACTACACTGCCGCTGGCCCTATCGGACGGATGCGCGACAGGATTCGGGTTCCATACACCTGCTGGTGTCCGCATCCCAACGGTTTTCTCTACCGAGAACATCCGTTTCTCAAGCTTGTCCAAATCCTTAAGGATCTCGTCCTCAGAAGCAGCATGGCTTCTGCGGGCAGCCTCACTATTCTCCTGAATCATCAGGCGAAGCCGATCAGTCGATGCCTCATTGTCCCTGACAGATTCATGGACCTCGTGGGACAGTAGGTTAATCCTCTGCTCCACGACCTCGGCTTGCTCATCAATGGCTTGCCTCACAATGGCCTTGCTATCGGGAATAACTTCCCTTGCGAACCGCTGAACTATCATTCGCATCCTCCCGGCATCAGATTGAGTCGCAACCTCAGCTGCCAGTCGATCGACCTTGTCCTTCGTCTGTTGATTCTCGTCGCTCCATTCCCTTCGCATGGAACTCACTTGACCGTTCAGTAACCTGATCTGGTCAGCAAAAATATGGAAAGCTTTCGCGACTGAGCCAGAAACCTCACCTCTCTCGAGCATCTCCTGGATGTGCAAATCGAACACCTCCTTTGCCCTAGCGTCACCTGATTCACCGGAAGAATGAGACCTGAGTGCTGGAGGAGTCGATATCTCGATCCTCTCAGGAGCCCCACTAGCTCTAGCATATCTTCTGGGGTCATCCACAGGACTATCACCAACCCCAGATGGCCTGCTAGGGGTAGAACCCCTTCTACGGCTATCGCCGGAACGGGGATCAACATGGGACGCACGAGACTCGGGAGTAGAGTGGATGTGAACATCAGCAGGATCAGGCATCTCCTCATCCTGCGGAGTTGAGTCCATTGGTGAGGGGCTAGCCCTCCTCGCCTTCGACCTATCGGTCTCAATGGCCAGGGGTGACGGTCTCTTCGCAGAAGCACTACGTTCCCTGGCGGTCGAGCCCCATTGAGGTGTGAACTCGTTGCTGGACCTTAGCGTTTCAAGGTCACTGGTATCTCGCCCTAACGGGCTAGCGATCGACGGACGATCCTCGATTCCGAGTGCATCGGCAAGCCGGCCATCTCTTGCACCTCTCCCAACGACATCGGCAACCCGCTCAGTGACTCTCGGCGAACCAGTAACCCGGTTCGAGTTCACGTCCCTCTGATTCAACGGACCTCCAAACGTAATGTTGGGAAAAGGGGGAACATTCGGGGTATCACCAATCGCCGGGGGACCTACCGGTCCCTCACGGTCATGGATGGCCTCCAATCCCCGAAGAACTTCCCGACTGTCCCTGGCTCTCTCTCTCTCGCTTCGGGCATCCCTGTCAACGCGAAGGTCCCTGGCGGCTCCACGAGAGAGGCTCCTGGGCCTCGCAGCATCACGGATCCTAGCATTTCGTCGTGGTTGGTCCTCCTCCTCATCACGGCGATCCGCAAATGCGGCATACTCGTCATCATCACCGACCTCAAACTTGGCATCGGCGGGACTAGTCCTTGCAGTCGCACGGTTGCCTGCATTTCGGCGCGAATGGCTCTCCTCCTCATCCGCAAAATTGTAACCTTCGCCATCATAAGACTCAGATTTGGCAGTATTAGGGTTGGGCCTACCGGCATCAGATCCCTGCTTTGAGCTACTGCCCCAACCTGCGGTTGATTTCAACAGATTATCGTATCCGAAGTCTGAGAACTTCCGCTCCTCGTGCTCATCAAGCTGACCTGGATTCTGAGAACCAGTGGATCGGCCCGGGATACCTCCCGGAACCAGAACCATAGTCCCTGGTCCCTGCGGCCTACTCTCAAACTCATCCGAGACCTGCGACTCACCTGGAACAAGAGATCTCGGAGGTCGAATCGGCATGGCCTCCGGGTCATCCGAATGAGGGCGGGCCATGTCCATCGCCATGCTGGTGAAGTCAAAATGTCCACGCCTGTGACCTGATTCAGAGCCACTCCTACCGGAGTAAACCCTTCGTGTCTGCTCGTCATCAGTGGCCTGGCGGAAAATACGATCGTCTCCATCGTCGGCGTACCTGCCACGGCCCCTGGGTGTATCCCTACCGGGATCTTCACCCCTGCGGTCCTGACCTGTCGAACCTGCTTCGAAATCCTCGTAGTCATAGTCCGGTAGGTCCTCACCTGAGCGGAGGCCACCTAGGATGGCCTCCTCATCCACGACGCTCCTTCGAGATCGTGGGGTCGACATAGAGCTTGTAGTTGATGGTCTCAAGCGCGTAGGAAAGTCCTACGGCTGATAACCTGTGATTCGGGCACGAGCCTGTGCCCAGGCAATGGGTAAGTTGGGGTAAACAAGCCACAAAAGAAAGGTTCCCCAAAAGCAAACCAATCCCCGGTCCCAAAGATCAGGGTTTCCCACACACCAGAGAACAACAACCAAAGGAAAACAAACCAAACAAGAAAAGGGTTAACCCGCAACCTTGGTCGACAACAGGCCGCACGACTGATCCCTACCAACCTGACAGCGGCCCGAGGTCTCTTTCTCCCCCGAGATGCCGTCGGTCGACGCAGGGGTTCGGCGACGCCCATTCGAGGCGCGACGGAACCCAAAATCTTGAGCCAAAACACCACAGGTCGGTCACTAACGCGACGTTCCTGATGATGATATGAACCATGGCTAATCACACCTTGAGATAAAGGTATGTTGATGATGGCAGTGATGTGTGTTGGTGTTCAGTTGCAAATGCGTTCGGGGAGTTTTCCATCTAACACCTGATGCGTGTCTGCGAGTCCGTGGTTGGGCGGGAAGTGAGGAAGCCATTGGGCTGTATTGCAACTTTCAAATATCTGCATATTTTGCCATCATTCCCAAAGCTGAATTAAGGGATCCCAAAAAAAAGACCTTTATCATGGTGAGCTTGTTTTACCCCCGAATCCGTGAGCTCGCCATAAATTATGCAGACATATCTCTCTGCAAGTGCTGCCCACCCGGTGCTCCTAGCCTCCCGCCCCATCTCCCCGCGCCTCGTACTTCATGGCCCTGGCCTCATCCTTGCCAACTGAGTGTGCGAACCTGGAGCCCAAGATCAGAGCCTTGCGCATGGTGTAGCGATTCCTTGGACAGCTAAACCACAGCTCAAACCAATTCAACCAAAGAAGCAGCGGTGTTGGCCCAAACAGGAACTTCCAAGAAAGCCTATGCAAGCAGCACAGAAGACGTTGTGTATATGACGTACATACATGTATATACTTAATATACCGTATGCATGCATGTATGTATGTATGTATGTATGTATGTATGTATGTATGTATGTATGTATGTATGTATGTATGTATGCATGTGTACGTCTGCATGTGTAGGGCGAGAAAGAAAGAGAGAGAGAGAGAGAGAGATAGTGAGCGAGAATTGGGTGGGACATTAAGATGTCAAGCCTCGCTATGACTTGTCTGCGCCGACTAGGAGCCCCGAAGTAGTTCTCAACATTTGTCTTTGGCAATGCTTGTAGGTGCACTGCAAAATAATTATAAGGAAATGGTTTGCCGCGTGTTGGACTCGATTTGACTCTTCCAAGTCAAACAGGTGAAACGGAGCTTCACGACAGCAGCATGTCGCTTGCCTCTCCAAATATCTTGCAATGAAGGCATAATATGCGTGTAGCAACTTCTGCCAGCAACGCACTTGTCTCTGGAATCGTCCTGGCTTGTCATGGCTTGTCTCCTGCGAACTACCAAACCATCTGCACCTCAACCTTCCAAATAATACACACGCACAATCACACACATCCTCTCTTTGAAATGAAGAACCCTTCCATCCACAGGGAAATCCCCCTGGATGGGACGTGCAACATGTGAACTTCTGAACAAAGCCTAAATCACGTTTGCCGGAAGGACCCGTTTCATCAATAGACTTCTCTTGAATTGCAACTCACACGCACCCGCGCACACACAATCTGGCATATCAAACATTTTAAGGCAGCGATGGCAATCTGGACCTGAACTCAGCTGTGGCTGGGCCAAGAAGACGTCCTGCTGAATTATACACCATACGTTGCGGCATTTTCCTGCGCGTGGAGAGTCGTTTACTGTTGCAGCCGAATCCACAGAGAGAGCTCGGCGCATCTAGTGACTTCAAATCTAAGTGACCAAGCGACTTTCCCGTGACCAATGACACCATTACCCTTTCAAGGCACCTTTGCACTTGCGAGAAGTAGCCCTTGGAAGGGCCTATGACTAACACTTTGATACAGAAGTTCTAAGACTTGCAGCCAAGCTTCCAGAAGAAGTCAGTGGAGCGCACCTCCTCCCAAAGATCGCAGGTCTCACCTGCAAGAATAATATCAATAAAACAACTCAAGACACAGCTGTGCAATCCACAAAGAAGCTCTTCTTTACAAAGCTCCTGCCCCATGTTTTGGTTGTTACATTCAGCTGGTCTCCAGAAATATTGTGTACGTTCTTGGAGGTGTACCCCACACATCTTCCATGAGTCATTGCACATCATGCATGCCTCGCTTCTGATTGGGTCCGGGTCCCATACCTCTGCCTGGGCCTGCTGGGCATCTAGTGATGGTGGTTCCTTGCGGAAATCCTCCGACCAAACTTCACTTCTGGATTTGTTCCTTTGCAGAGCTCCAGTTGCCACGGCGTGACTAGAGTTGGCGGTCTGCATTTCACCGCTATTTAATTCCTTGGGGCAGTTTCTGCTCCAATCCGAGTCGCTGCTGTAGTTGGCAGCCACCCAATCCTCAGTTGCAAAAGGCTTGAACTGCTGGGTTCACATGCTTGGCACTGCAGCGCAATTGCAAATGCTGCACTGTCTCACATCGATGATCTAAGTTGCAATCATCACCACTTCAACACCGCCATGATATATACGGTGGCATGATTGCAAAGGAATGGTGACTGGTGCTGGACAATCTCGAGTCAAGAAAACCTTAGGTGTCCCTTCAAACAACCCGTCCCCAGGTGGGTGGAGTCAACAAGACCTTGGGTTTCCCTTGAATTTATCACAAATGCAACTGAAGTTGGGTGCCACCCAAAAAAAATATTCCCTTTAAGTAAACAGTCTACTTGAAGGTGGGTGCCCTAAACAAAGACCCCTCCCTGTGATGAAAAGTCATGCGAAGCCCTACCCCAACCGGTTCCCATTTTGAACAATCCACCCCAACAAGTGGGCGCCCCAATAAAATCCAATAAAACAAACTCCGACCCCTCCTCGAAACCCGTTGATTAAACAATCCACTTGACAAAGGGCGCCCCCCCCCAAAAAAAAACAAACCCTCCCATCCACTTGAAAAAAGGCGCCCCACAAAAAAAGAAGAAGAAACAAACATCCGACCCCCTCCCATCCACTTCAAAAAAGGCGCCCCCCCCCCCCAAAAAAACAACAACAAACTAACAGAATCGAACAAGCAAAACGTCCGAGCCCTCCCCGTCAGTCCCTCCGTTTTTCCAGCGAGGGCGCCAGGTTCCGCTTGACCAGCTCCCACACCCTGGCGCCCGCTTCAGGCTTCTCCGCCGCCAGCGCCATGGCGGTGATGGCGCGGAGCCCGGGGCCGTCGTTCTGAGGGCGGCACCAGCCGCCCGTGTAGGGCGTGCCCTGGGGGATCAAGTACCTCAAGTCGGCAAGGGAATGAGCAAGAGATTGGAACTCTAGGAGCAAAGGGAGAAGGGGAGGGGGCCAGAGGAGGGAGGTGGAGGGGGAAATGAGGAACAGATTGGTTCCAGGATCAAAGGGAGAAGGAGAAGGAGAGGTGGGAGGTGGGAGGGAACCTGTTCGTTTTTTCTCAAGCTCAAGCCTGTCTTTGTTGATGTAAGGTCTGGCAGGAGAGAGGAGATGGTGATCAGGTGACACTGCTCTCCTTGCTCCTGTGTTTTGTAGAATGGCAACGCGGATGTTGAACGAACAAGCTCGCAAACTCCACCAAGACGACCTTCTGGGTACCTGCATGCCAAGCTTGACGCCAACACAAGCAGGCACGCAAGTGTACTTCGGAGCTAGTAATTGACAGCACATGCTAGTTTCTACACAGGTACCTCCATGCTTTCGATGACAGGTGCGTGCTTTGGTGCCCTCAGCGGCGGAAACAATGTTCTGCACCTTGATGTCAAGTCCAAACCGAAGCCCAATGAGGAATTGATCAGGCCAAGGTGAAACCAGGCGCCACAAATTACCAGAAGAGCAAAAGGCCATGCTTCAATCTCCTGGTCAAAGCAGCCGCGTCAAGGAACCTTTAGCGTGGCTAAGGTCCTATCCCCAGCAAGGTTGCCACATAGTCATTGTAGACAAATGAGCATGAACATGCACCAACTGTTCTGCAAAACATGGGTATTCCTGTATTCCTGCAACACTGTCCTGCCAACATTGCATTGAGTCTACCGATGAGGGACTTGACGCGCCGTTTATGTTCCTGGCATCATTCTAAAGCCTGCTAGTCCTCCCTTCCTCACGCGTTTCAAGTGCAAAAAGCTTGAAAACAGCCAATTGCCAGAATCACGTTTTGTTCCATAATCCACACGCGGACATCCACAGGACTTTGCTGTCCAGGCACTTGGGCTCCACGAGGATGTCGATGTTGTTGGGGTCTGGTTGGTTAATAGACCGCTCCACCCAGGCCATCCACTTCTCCATCTTCCTGGGTACCAGCCATACCAAATCATAGCCACACCCACCCACCCACTCACCCACCCGCCCGCCCGCCCGCCCGCCCGCCCGCCCGCCCGCCCGCCCGCCCGCCCGCCCGACCGCCCGCCCGCCCGCCCGCCCGCCCGCCCACCCACCAGCTCTCGGGATTCGGGAAAGCAAGAGGAACCTCCCGACTCCCAACCAACTTAACAAATAGGATGGCAATTACCCGGTAGCCAAGGTATGCCAAGGTTAAGCTTTCCCCCAACCAAGGCGTCACTGGACAAGGTTGGCACACCGATAGGTCTCAGCTGAACCTGTGCAGTCGGGGTCCCAAGGGAGAACGTGGCATCCGTGTTCAACAAGCTTGCCAGCGCGATGCTTCGCAGCACTAGCTGCGAAACTCCGTGGGGCAAGAAACCTGTTGAGAGGCAAGCTTGTCGGTATCTCCCATCCAAGTCGGTACCTGAAAGTAAGCTTGTCCAAACAAACAGTCGAAACAACAGCGGCTGAGCACGTCACCAAGGCTCTCCTCTGCGCCTTTCAGGCCTTTGGTCTGCAGGTAGGCGTGCATACTCCTTGGAACAAATTCGAGATACACCAGTGCCCAAAGCTCGTCCCTCTGAAATCAATATTCGGTTTATGGGGGTGACTCCATCCTGTCCAAGAACACCGGGCCAAGCAAACCAGAAAGGAAACCAACTGCCCTATTCTGAATTGAAGAAAGCGGGTGCCATGAATTAAGAGTTGATGGGTGTGGCTCAAAAAATAGACAGCTTGGGTTACGCGGATTTTAATCTTTGATTCCAAAAAACCATCTGGATTCTGGGCCGAGAGTGGGGTGGGGAGGCCATCCCTTAGTAAGTCCGTCAAGTCTCTGATTTCAGAGCACCTGCAAAGCCTTGAACAGGCCTTGCTGTGCGAATATATAATCTCTGTGCCTCTCGTATATTATTTCTACCTGCCCGTTGTTCACGAAAGTGAAGGTTGATTGAACCCCGGCGGGAAAAGCCCGTATGCAACATGCAAACCAAGAATTCGCACAGGTCCACGCAGTACTCCCATCAAACTGGAAACTTGAGAAAAGGCAAGTGTGGGTCGTCCTACTTTCTGCAGCTCAAGATCGGTTGACCAAACGGCTCATAGCCGCACAGACCAGCTGCAAGAAATTCCCAGCCACATCTGACTGACCCAAAGCCGCCATCCCAACACACCAAGTTTCAAGTGCAATCGTCCTTCTGCTTACACATTCGCTCGCACCAGAACCGACTCATTCGGCTATCATGGTTCTCCGCAGGAAATGAAAGAATGATCCCTTCCGCTTCATTCCCAACACCCAACACATTTCCCACACTCCCTACATGAGTGTCCTTTTGGTAAAACAAATGGCCCTGGTAGATTAAATACCCAGCCAAACCAGGACCCATCTGAATCAAAAGGACACCCCCGCCCCAATGTTCGAGCTCTCGCCCCGAGTCATGTTTTCGTCCGGGGCGCAAGGCACCATCCCGGGCCCAGGCGAAGTAGTAGTCCCCTCCAGGCCCCGTGGCGTGGTCCGGGGACGCCATGACCTCCCCGCTGCCCTCCGCGTCCAGATTCGCCTCAAAGAGCTTCAGCACCTAGCGAAGATGGTCACTCGGGTGGCTGAAAGGGGAACACCGAAAGCGCTTTCCTCGGGGTTCGACGGTGAACCAAACACATAACAATAAAGTTGCTTTAGGATTATTAATAACAAAGAAGTTTCCATTTGGGTTTCCCCCCCGGTTTCACTTATAAATAACAAAGAGGTTTCATGAGGCTTCCTTTTGCCTTGACAGTAAGGGCGTCACAAATGGACATGCGAGTCTGGTTGAATTGCCCCCCCTGTTGACCAATTTCTGTGACTTGCGGCCTGAGCTAAGACTTGCCAGCCCACGTGCCCTACGCCGCGAAAGCCGAACGCCCCTATTTTCTAAGCCAAACATACGCTGGCTGCACATCCGCCTCTGGCCGTACGCTGGCTGGGCATTTAAACATAAGGCGAAATGAAATCCAAACCACAAGGCACCGGGACAAACAAATTCGAGCACACTCCAGAGACGCACCCCCGAACTCATGAGGCCCTTGGGAATCTGATCCATCTGGAAACATCCGGAGTTGCCCCCTTCATTCTGTACATTTGTTTGCACCCACACAGTGAGGAATTGGTCCCTTTACTGATGATAGTCCCGTCCCATACTGGTGCTCAGTAGGGAATGAGGGAATGAACCTGGGGATTCCTTTAAAGGACACCACAAGGGATGGTTTAGGGTCGTTCCCTCATTCCCTACTGAGCGCGAGTAAGGACTTTTTGCAGGCCATCGAGTTTGACGTCTGCCTCGGCCACCTCCGCGTCCGAGAAAGGCTCCTTGACATCCCCGCCCAGCGTGCAGGACTGCATGGTGCGATTGCTGAAGAAACACCTCGCGTCCACAGCGCGGGCCGCCCAATTGAATATGGCAAAGCAACTGAGTCTCCCAGCTGAGTCGTCCCTGTTGACCGCTCCCACTGCTGCAACCGAACGATCCGTCCCACTGGCTGCATTCCGAGGCTCCACGGCAGGTTCCCCGGATTAGGATCCACTGGGCTCCAGCAGCACGAAGCTGCGCGGCACGAGTCCTGCCGGCGGATTTGCTTCCTCTGGCATTCTTGCGTCGTGCAGATCATGTATGTACTCAGTACTGTTCTAATAGAACATCAAGTGGAATCTGTGGGAGAGGTGGTCATTTAGCTGTGTTGGTAAGGGCTCCTGCCGCCCAGAACATGAGTTGGTCGAAGGGCTCAGCTTGGAAAAAGCACCACACATCAGGCCGTCCCACAGGTCTCTTCAGGCGCCAGAACAAAATGCCGTCATCCTACCCACGCAGAACCCTTGGCTGCATGCGAACATAGCTGGAAACCTACTCAGTTCTCGGGCAGAAGGCAGGCTAACAACAGGAGCGGCTGCTCGTCGTTCTATACTGGCTGCACGACGAAGAGCTTGGTCTCCCAAGCCTGATACAACACAATAACCGGGTTGATTACAGCTTAGCAAAGCGAAGCTGGGCAGGATCTCTCAGAGGACCTAGAACAAATACCTCCGAACTCGGAGTCGAGCAAGTTCTTGCTCCGCCTGGAGCTATCGTTTTCAGATTGCTACGGAGAAACATTTGATGTTGGTCGCTCAGGCCATCCGAAATCTGGGGGAATCTCTGGAAGCCAACCTGCAGAATCAGCCGGATACGTCCCATGGTCCAGCCACAAGCAGGTCGGAAAGGTCCCACAAACACAAGTAGATCATAGATTTCAATCAAACCCATTTGCAGCCCCGCAAAAATGCGTCACTGAAAGAATGATATCAACCACCCAATGACTAATGAACATGCTCATCCGCTGCCAAAAAGGTCTACTCTTCAAGATGCTTTGTCAGTACTCCGTGTGTATGTGTTTGGTTCTTTCAGAGAGCCCTGAGTTTGGAAGTCGGTGATGCCGAGTCCAAATCAGCCCTATGGGGAGGCCACTGCGTGGAAGCTTGAGAGAAAACTTTGGCGATCCCAAAGAAGAGGTCGCTCTGGCTGACTCCAATTGAAAACAATGACCTGAGGCGGGGGTCAGACATGTGAACCCCTGACCTAGGTGTTGCTCTTAGCACAGCTTAGGATTAGCTCTGTCTTGTGCCAGTTTGCATTACTGCAATCAGGCCAACAAGTTACAGGAAGGAAAGGAAACCGGGCTGCCCTCAGATGCCCTGCCAAAAGCTTATCTTTTAGTGGGCTAAATAGAAACTACTGCTAAACCAACTAAAAACCGAAAAAGCTGAGGAACCGGATGGCTGGGAGCCAAGGAAAACGGGTGCCGCCTCTTGGCCCAGTATCGCACAAACCCACCGAGTCCTCGTCTCCGTGCAAGCAGTCGATACGGTCATCCTGGAGCATTTGAGATGAGAAAGCTGGCAAGGCATTCGGGCCGAGCAGGCAAGTCTTAAACAAGAGACCCTTCCAGAGACCGGTCAAATGCCGCAGTCCCTTTGTTGGGCACATGGGCCGCTTCTCAGCTTGCGACAGGCGCAAGCCGAGCATCAACCCCTCCGGCGGCGCCGAAGCAAAGTCGAACAGATCGCAACTCCAAAGGCCGCTCCGAAACTTGGCGTGGGTCGAAATCCTGGAACCCCCCCAGTGAACCTCCCAATCCCCACAATAGAGATCCCTGAAAAGAATGGGGACGTGTCCCCTAGAAGTATGGTTGGGGGCGCATCCGTTGCTTTTTTCCCCCGAAGTTGCGGAGATGCTCCAGCTGCGGGCGTTCTCCTGGTGAATTTGCTCGCATTCCAGCGCCGCAGCCGCCGGCAGCAGCAAGCCTGCGGATGGGTCTTGTGAGCGGTGGATTCTTGCACAGACCTGTTTTTTTTTTTATATGTTTTTTTTTCAGAAGGGGTGCTCCCTGGGATGTAAGGTTTTAGCGCTGCAAGGCTCAGAAAACACTGCGAATACCATGGTTTAGGGTTTAGGCTTTTGGGTTTGGCATCCTCAAAATTGTACAACCTCAAAAATACCACTTTGAAGTGGCTTAAATGAAAACCATTCCCAAAAGCAAATTTGAAAAGCCCTGATCTTCACTTTAAGAGACCGGTCTGTGCACTTCCATGTTTCGCACACTGCATGCTTCAGGAAACCGTCGCTATTGAAGTGCAACATGTTTAACAACACTCCGGTCAATGTACCACTGCCTCTGGCCAACTGCTTCCATACGAGTTTTCTCGATACCCTCAGAAAGCATTGGCTCAGAGATCTTCTATCCGAGTGGAGGGCTGTACATGCTGACAATAGCGACTCAGGTGAGCAATAGATACATAGGTGTCCTTTTAGGGGCCCGCGTTGGGAGACTCTGACGGTGTCAACTTGGAGAACCCTTTCTCAGGCTAAGACTGTGATAGTATGGCTGTGTCTTTTGGCGGGTACCCCCTTTCTTGTGGTCTTAAAGGAAAACCAAAAAGAACATCACCATATTTGTGGCCCATATCTCACAATGTCATCACTCTTGAACATCCTGGTAGGAATGGGTTAAATGGATCTTCTACCAACTGCTCTGCCAGGCCCCACACCACAACTGTTGGTCTCAAAGTCCCGTGCCTGTCAGGGTGGCACGCAGCATGGCAGGGGATGGCGGTTTTCTGGATTTTTCTGGAGCCAAGACGTTGGGAAAACATGTGCTGCGGCCTGGACGCCACTTGCCTGTCTGCAAGCCTTCGCCAGGCGCCTAGTTTGGTCGGAGGGCAACTTGCCATTTCTCTCCCATGCGAGGCATCTTCGCTACGGCCATGACATCAGGAACCAACGAGTCCGGCAAGAGATCCTCAACGACATCGAGACCTGTAAGCCCAAGCAGAGTTGATCCCAAACACTGGAACCTTGGCTGACATTCTGAGCATCGCAATAGCGGGCATGGAAAGGTCCCATGAACAGCTCGGTGCCCAAGGCCACATTGCCAAAGGACAGCTTTATATTGATCTGAGGCCACAAACAAATTGACTCCTCGCGACAGGCAACATACATTTGATGCACCTTCACGGACGCCAACCTGCTAGCATTGTCACAACCCATACCACAATCACATCGTACTGTTGCCAACCAGAATCGGGCGTTGTTAGTTAGCCACCAACGACATTTACCCCAAGGTTGATCTCTCTTTCAGCGCCATCTTGAAGGGCCTCACATTCAGCGCACACATTTTCCATTGCAGGCAGCGAAGGGAGCGCCAGGCCAGGTAGGGCATTCCAAGGAAACATTGGTCAACTCCTGGCTGATGCTCAATTTTGCAAATAACTGACAGCCCCGCGACACAACCAAACGTAAATCCATGGACTTTGTGGAGGTGTAATTAATAACACAACGGACGGCCGAGGTGAAATAAAGGCGCCAAGTGTCTAGACATCACGCTTCAACAAGGATAAAAAACGCACCCATGGTCATGGATTAGTTCGGTTTCTTGTGACTACCCCAAAATATGCACCATCAGGTGCTGGTCCGGAGTTGAACAAGCATTGTTCGTTGGGCCTACGTCTTTGAAGATGTAAAAGCGATCATGTGGAAATCACTCGGGATTTTGACATGATGTATCATGATGTTCTCTCTGACTTCATCAATCGCGCTTGACCCGTGTTCGATACGGGTTGCGTCAATGAGACTAACTCTGAGTTTGTATCATGCAATTGGCATGAAAACTAGATGGAGGTTGACCCCATAACAAGCAACACACGTCTATGCCAACAAGCTGTGTGAATAATTATATTTCACCAACGTGATTGGGACAATAATCCCCACATAAGCCACCATTTGGGGTGAGGTCGTGTGAATTCACCCAGAACAAGCCCATTCTTGACGCAATCGCACATCAGAAAAGGGGAACAGGAACCGCTCGTGGCAATCAGGTTGCTCGAGTTCCTTCTGGCTTTGCCCTGGTTCACTGGTCTGTGCGATTCCGCGAATTAAGAGCACAAGTGCCCACAGAATTTGCGTGACACCTGGAAAGGCCTCTTGTGATGAAGGGCTGTAAGGAGGCTTCGCGGCTTCACATGTTCGTCACAAAAACACCTGCCTCAGGCCTCATGGTTGGTTTTATGATGCCATGTTGAAGTCCAACAAAGGCCACCCTTCTGAATCATAGAGATGCATCCATGTTCCTAAGAAAAAGTGTTCCTCCGAGCCGATTCAAATGAAGAGGCCGAGTCCGACTACTTCGAGTCGATTCAGCCCGCCCAGCCAATGGCCCAAGCGAAAAAGGTTTCTCCAATCTCACTTGGCACATGCCAAACGTGTGATGTGTTTTACAAACAAACATGCTCGCCACTCCGCATGATCGCATTGCAAACCAAGAGTGATTTATCGTTTGTGTGTTTTGTTTTGTTTTTTTTCTTTTTAACCAGGCGAAACATGCGGAAGGACAAATTCAACCTTCTTCCAAGCCTCTTCTCTTTGTTTCGAATACAGCTGCCTCTTCAAGGGCCTCCAAAGATTGACGAGTCAGCTGCTCAATCAGTGTCTCTATTTTTTTAGGGTACCCCCCCCTTTTGGTGAACCCTGTAAAAAGACACAAGGGGGTACCCACAACAAAAGACACACCCATCACGACTCCTTGATCTTTTCTTTGACCAATGCTCTCAACTCTGGTGTGCGGGACACTACGCAAAGCGAACCTCACGAGAGCTTCTGGTCGGCATCTGCGCTCGAGGGATACACAAATGCCGTGCTATCAGATCTCCAGTCGCCTCACACCCATGTATGTAAGCAGTTGGGCAAATAAGAATTGGGCGTTGACGAGCATGCGTCATGACTGCGACATAATATATGATTATGCAGCAACTGCAACTAATATACCACCCTAGAAGATCCTAGACTATTGTGCACATACTCCCTTGAGATGTCTGGCACCAATCCTCATTCGGAATGCGATGCTAGCGTTACTTGAGAGGCTCCTCTACCGCTGCAAGGCCTCAAGCCTCAACTTGTAATCACACACCATCTGTTGATCAGTCAAATAACATTGACCAACTCAGTTTGAAAGACCCATCGCCGGCGATAGCACGATCCAACCTTCTAACTGGTGTCTCGTACACTATCCAACCCGGGAGCTCACAAAACTGTGAGCACATCGATTCACATGATGACTCAACACCTAAGAACAAATGGCCATCAAAACCCCGTACCCTCAGTGAACATCCCACTCCCCACTAAAATAGACTAAAATGGGTGGTGCACCTATCTCAAAAATGGTACCATTGGTTTTGACCCACTGCCAAATATGCTAGTGTCCTGGATCATTGGATCAGCTTGTCGGGAGCGCTTCGCTAACAGTCCCCTGGCCTGCAACGACTCGATCATGGAGTAGTCCTTAGTCGGCAATGCGTTCAACCAAGATGAGGTACCGGGAGCTCAGCCGCACATAACGAAAATGATTCGCTTCAGGTCCTTGTAGGCCCCTCTTGCGGGTGTTCTGCTTTGCCAACAGTATCATCCACGTCTGGCAAGTGAAAGACACACGAGTGCACGAGTTATCTCAGTCTCGCGTGAGACTTTCAGCAAATCGCTTGGGACTCACAAAGCACACACAAACCGCCATGCCAAGCCACATGGCGGGCGCGCGCGCGCCGCCACTCGCTCAGATTTGTTGCATGCCTTCCGCGTGTGGGGGGGCACATGCATAGTCCATTCATCCTCTCTTGGAATGAGTCCGCGGACCAAAAGGCTCATAGACAACGCCATGCCCGTTTGGGTCAGGTGCCATTGAATTACTCCATGCCGCGGCGTGTCTGCATGTCTTTGCGCTTCATGCATGCTCTGGTCAAAAAACCTCGGCTTGCGGCAACCATCAAAAAACCACCGACGCCCTGCCGACCTTTGCTTCAAGAAATTCTCACCAAAGATCCATAGCAGCAGAATGCTTTTCCTACAAGCCCCCGGATCAGGCAGCAAAGAGAGAAGCTCACCCCACGCGTCCAGTGAACTTGAGCAACACCCTTGTCCCAAGCGACGCGATAGGGGCCCCTACTTTACAGTGTTTCTGAAAGCGCATTAGTCCGGCTGATGTATTATTGATCAATCATTGGCTGCAGCAATCCGTCAATCATTGATCCATCATTGAACTTGCTATCGTCTTTATCCGGATGCAGCCAACAAGCCTTGAACCCCCCCCCTTCCATGCAAGGTAATTACTAACACCACCGCCATCACCACCAGTGCAGCAGCGGTAGCAGCAGCACTCTGAACCAGCAAGTCATACTGTGGTGGCAGCTGGAGCAAAGCAATAGCCAAAAAACAGAAGCAATGACACCAAAAACAATCACAACAATGACACCAGCAACATGAACAGTGAAGAAACACAGCATGTACTAATTCTTGAAGCTGGGATCCCCTGCGTCTCCAGGTGGTTTTGGCTCTGTGTGGCTTAGTTTGTGTGTACCAAGTTGGCCAGAATTCTAAAGTCAAACGGTGTGTGTATACTTACATGTTACTATTAATTACTCACATGCCCAGTGGCCATGCGAAAACAAGGGCATTCTGCTTTGGTTGGCTGACTTTAATGGGGAACCCTTCCCAAACAAAGGAAACAATGGCACCACTGGGCAACTGGGAATATCATCATTATTATTTTCATTGCCTATTGCTGCACCACCATGTCAGGATTCGCTCCAAACTCCGTTAATATGAGTTGAGTCTACAAATAGAGCATACTGTCAGGAACGCCTCTTGTTCAGACATACCTTTCAGCAGATTTCAGGCACAACTTATTTTCAACCAGGGGAGAAGGTGACAGAGAAGATCAGCAACATGAACACGCGGCGGCCTTCAACAGCAATCCAACATCTGGATCCAATGAGTTAGCTCAACCAAAATCTTCAACATATGTCCAGTAGTGATAGATTCCCTGTGAAACCCAGAGGGGAAAATAAAACATATTCTTAAGCAAATGCAATAAATTATGTCACAAACCTCACTATCGCCCTCGCCCCCCGAAACCAGTCGTGAGCCAACAGGAGCCCCAACAGTTAGGGCTGCGGACAAGCAGCATGGCGGCCCTTCCGCCACAGTAAAATGACAGCCACTACGCGACACACCACGCCGATGGTCAGAAGCCCAGCAAGATTCCCGGGCCACTCTTTGCAGCTGATGTTGTTCGACCTGCACGTCACGCAAACCACGAACACCTCTAACACGAAACTCGCGGCGTAGTGTCAAAGGTTGCTTCTTCTGTGCCTGGAAAGAAACCAAGAACCATGTCGCGCACTACTCCCTACAGAATGTAGTTGCGTTGTCTTTGCCAAAGCTTCGGTTGCTGCTTGGATGCCTGGGTTGTATGATATTGTGTGGATATCATCACTTGAAAGTCGAGGTTTCGGCGACTGAGCTGGCTCTTATTGGGAAGAGCGTGTACGCTGGATCACAACAGCAAGGTTAAGGGGGAGTCTCAACCAACTTGGTCTTCCCTCTCCAGCAGCACAAAAGGCCAACCTGCCAAGAAAGCAATCCCTGATGGTCGTGTCTTTTTTGAGGGTACCCTTTCTGGGATTGACTAGGGGAACCAAAAGAAAAGCCACCATTTCCTTGGATCCCCCTATCCCCAGATCAAACCCTTCCAAGATGCTGCAGCAACTCAGCCCGGAGGTAATCTCCAGGCAACTGCTCGGCGCATACTTCTCTGCCTCAGGATCCAACATGTGGTTTCTGGGAGTCCAATACGAGACCAGGGTCATGATCAGACCCATTTCTCTCGCGGAATTTCTGGGCCTTTGCTCCGAGCTTTCCGAGGTTGCGGTTTTTGTGCCTGATCCGGACCACGCACATGGAGAGGGTTCCTCAATTCAAGCTAGCATTGTTGTACGTGTCTGTCTGCAATTCAACTTAGAATTCTATCCCATGCAGGTGCGCAACTCAAAACAAAGAAAGTGAGATCATTCTCTATGGAATCTCATTCTCCAGAATATTGTCAAGTTCTTGCACTTCCCTCGAGTGACGGGTCCTAAAGCAGGGGATGTTTCTGACTTTGGTCTTTTGGAAGACAGGAGTTTGCTTCTTCTTTAATCGTCCCCCCAAAACAACTCTGCAAGGTCAGTGCAGCTTTGGTTTTGCCTAAGGCAGTGCCACACAGGGGGCAGGCCCTGACGCACAGCGCTGGATTTGGATTGCCCCCATTGCTCAGATCGTCTTCTGGAACCGACGTCTAGCCGGCGGAAAGCAACAAACCTAAGCGAAGTAAGGGCAGGGCGGCATAGTTCTTCTTTGTTCGGAGACCAGGAAAAAACAGCAAAAGCCCATGCCAGGTATCTACTTTAGTGGCAATGCCTCGGCATGGGGCTTGAATCATTGGGCTTGGGAAAGCCAGTTTTAGCTGACAACACAGGCCTGGGGAAAATCAATGAGCTGGGAAGAACGCATTGCATACGCTTGTGCAGCTGATCCTGGGAACTGACACTCCGTTTCAATTCAGCGGTAGAACACTTTCTGGCTTCGCCTGCTCACAGCAACATTGACTGTGCAGCGATCGGTTGTGTCTCGAAATTTGCCCAAAAACCACACATGACATGCACCCAACAAAATACATTGTTGGTGTCCTTTCCATCAGTTAGCAACCCTTGGACGCCAGGCAAATGGACCAGTGAGTGTGACCTGTGTGCTTTCCCAAGCCCCAGGGTAAGCACGTCCCACCAGAAAAACAAGTCATACGAGATGATCTCTTTGCAAAATCCGCTCCGGGAAATTCATGCTAATGTTTTGCTCTCTAAGGGTTTTTGTATTAAATCCTGGGATTCCACCCTTGGGAAATGACCCAGAATGGTTCAAAATAACACGGTTTTATCCGGAGATGCGCCTAAATGGGTTCAATACCCAGTGGGTGTATTCCCAGGGTGTAATTAATACAAAAACCCGTAGATGCTCCCATTGGCACTGAACATCTAAGCACATGTCGCACGAAACGAGCGCGCTGCATGGCTCCAAGTTGCTAGCGCTCTGTTCGCATGTCAGGATGCTGGTCCGGATGTAGCTGAACTCCACACATCCAGTAAGAGCCATGGCATACTTGATGGGAGTAAAATATTGGCCCCACCGAAGGGACGCGGGAATCTTCCTGAGAGCAAAGTCGGAACTCAAGCGATAGGTGACTCAAAAAAAGTGCGAAGCCAATAATCCACCTGCAACTTGTCACCGGCGCGTAACTCTCTTGCCCTTGGTTGACATTGGCAACCAGATCTAAATTCAGGGAGCTTCTCAAATTCAGCAGCACAAAAAAGGCATACCTCGAACCACCCCACAAACAAAAAACGCCGAACAACTTGGTTGCTGTTGACCCCCCTGCAAAAAGTGTAACTTGTTGGGGGTTTAGTGGAAAACCCAACTTGATTTCAACCAAAAAGTCAAAGTTTAAAGATCCAACCCAATAGCAGTCAAGAAAAGGCAAAGATCAGGGCATGCGCAAGTGGTGAACTTCACTTCTGCTCTGCCGGGCCACGTGATGGGCACCAGAATTCCCGTGAAGAGCAGTTGGATGAGCACGGGCAGCGGGCCGACTTGCATGGCTTGCTCGGGGCTCGAGGTACTCACCGCGAAGATCAGCGCGATGGAACTGCTGGTGACCCCCAGAAGCCAGGAAATGCCTCACTGCAAAACAGTTGCAGCTTGGCTGGGATTCCTTGGAAACAGTGTCCATGAAATTAAGGCAGAGGGGCAACCCATAGGTGGACAGTCCCTGAGTTTGAGACAAAGGGGCAACCTGCATGGGTCCCTGAGGCCGATTTTGAAATTCCGCCCACAAGGCACAGCGGTTGGGTCTTGCCATTGCTTTTTTCTCGGGTGCAGGGTTTCAACCTCCAGGTGTTACCCAAGAAGATGGAGGGGCTAGTCCCCAACCCGCAAACTCACAACGAAATAGGGGTATATGGGGTGAAAATTTGCTCGGACACAACGCAAAGCAGAGTAAGCTTAGAGCGCTCCCAGAAAATAAATGGCAAACAAACAAAACAATGTATTTAGAGATTTAGCACAAAATAATTACAGTAGTATAGTGTTGGGTCCATGCAGGAAATGCGGCAAGTTGATGTCTTGGGGAGGCAGGAAGTTGTGCGGCTCGTGCCTGGCTTTACCCTCGGACTATCAGAACAAACTCCACCCCAAGAACATGGACGCGAGTGCGAGATTCTGCAACATGAAATAGTATGCCGTACTGAGAAGAACACACAACACAAATCTACGGATGCGAATATTTGAAGAATGGGCGCGGGTTACGGTGAATTTGTCAGACCATACTTCAGCAAACAATCATAATTATGATTGTTTCAGCCTAGAACCAAATGAAGTTGTAAAAGGCAACAATAAAGATAAGGTGTGACCACAGAAGG